ATGGTTCGCGATGGAAATTCGGTCGGAAGCCGAGGTTCACTGGTCCGGATCGAATCGATCGGCCTGGCACGATCATTTAATTGCGTAACATCGATAGACAACGCCCGTATCGAGAGGGAGTCGCGGTGCAACTGCCTCTTCCTGGGTCAGATTGACCGGCCGGTGTAGCATCACGTTGGAGCAGACGGTCACCTCTGAGTTATTCTAAGGGAAACGAAGAGCGAGGAAGATGGAAAAACGAAGATGGTGGGAAGGAGTAGGAGGAAGCCGGAGCATTTTGGAAACGGGCCAAAACAGAGACGAAGTTCGCGAGAAAAGTCCGGCCAGGCGAAAGAGAGGAAACGGGAGAACAGCGCTCGAAAGGTCGAGCTCGATTGTGGAGCAACAGGTTACTCGAGTAATGGGATACAAGTAGATATACTCGGAGCGGGCTTCCTTTAGGGAACAGCCAGGGAGAATCTTATGTTGATCAGACACGGACTTTCGAGGCTGGATGGGGAAATTTTTAATGGGACATATTTATTAATTTGATAGTTTGTATTTTTATTCGATCGAGTTTGGAGGTTCGTCATTTTTATCATTTTTAAGTTTGAACATTTTTAATTCCGAAAATTTGTGATATTCTGAACTTGAAATTTGAGAAATTTTCAAGCTGAAAATTTGTGATACTCTGAATTTGTAATTTGACAAATTTTCAAGAGGAAAATTTGTGATATTTTGAATTTGAAATTTGACAAATTTTCAAGAGGAAAATTTGTGATATTTTGAATTCGAAATTTGACAAATTTTTAAGATGAAAATTTGTGATACTCTGAATTTGAAATTTGACAAATTTTCAAGAGGAAAATTTGTAACATTTTGAATTTGAAATTTGACAAATTTTCAAGAGGAAAATTTGTGATACTCTAAATTTGAAATTTGACAAATTTTCAAGAGGAAAATTTGTGACATTTTGAATTTGAAATTTGACAAATTTTCAAGATGAAAATTTGTGATACTCTAAATTTGAAATTTGACAAATTTTCAAGATGAAAATTTGTGATACTCTAAATTTGAAATTTGACAAATTTTCAAGATGAAAATTTGTGATACTCTAAATTTGAAATTTGACAAATTTTCAAGATGAAAATTTGTGATACTCTAAATTTGAAATTTGCTGAAAATTTGATACTCTGAATTTGAAATTTGACAAATTTTCAAGTCTGAAAATTTTGACATTTTGAATTTGAAATTTGACAAATTTTCAAGAGGAAAATTTGTGACATTTTGAATAAATTTGAAAAATTTTCAAGAGAAAAATTTGTGATATTCTGAATTTTAAATTTGAGAAATTTTCAAGCTGAAAATTTGTGATATTCTGAATTTGAAATTTGACAAGTTTTCAAGCTGAAAATTTGTGATACTCTGAATTTGAAATTTGAGAAATTTTCAAGTCTGAAAATTTGTGATATCTGAATTTGAAATTTGACAAATTTTCAAGAGGAAAATTTGTGACATTTTGAATTTGAAATTTGACAAATTTTCAAGTCTAAAAATTTGTCATATTTTGGATTTGATATTTGAAAAATTGTCCAGCTTGAAAATTACTGATATCTTAAACTTGCCTGTTTCTAAATTTTCAAGATGGAAAATTTGTAATTTGCTTCAAATTCTAATTCCGAACATTTGTGCCTATATAAATTTCTGTTTGAAAATGTGTAGTTAAAAAATGTTAAGTTTAAAGATATGTGACTATTTAAAATTTTAATTTCAAAATTTGTCACTATGTAAATCTCTATGTTTGAAAATTAGTGATTAGTAATGTGATAACTATTTCGCTTATATAGATCAGATTATTTTCCCTCATATCTTTAATGCATACTTACAGCTATCATTCCTGATAAACCAGACGTATAAGATTCGATTTGATTATTCTATCAAACGAGAGAGATAAAATGGAGAAACGATAGTAGACGAGCTCTCAATACGACAATGTCAAGGTCGTGCTGAGAATTTTCATTAAGAAATGTCGGTCACTGGAACTTTTGCAGGAGCATCGATGCAGGAGGTCGATGCTTCGTCGAGCGGATTCATAAACCGATAAATGAACGCTTGAAACACGCTTCGAAAACTCTTTGAGAACACGCTTCGTGTGGCACAGTTAACCCAGTTGCACGATACGACACGACGAACGTTACTGCATTCACGAAGTATTCCTCTTGTTTCTGGACAAACGACTTTCCAGTTCGATAACGATCATCGTTAATGATAATTACGAGACATTTTGGACCGATAACTTAATGATAATTATGGCTATTAACATGGTCTGCTGCATACGAGACATAAGTTTGCGAGCTGCATGACGGAGATTTGGGAATTTCAAATATGTGAAATGCGAGAACGGAATTTGGAGATTTTTGAAATAAGGAATTTGAAAGTTGGTAGATTCTTTTTGAATTTTGGAAATTTCGGAATTTGAAAATTTTGGATTTTGGAAATACTGAATTTCGGAAATTTTAGCTTTCGCAAATTTTAGATTTTGGAAATTTTGGAATTTGAAAATTTCGGATTTTGGAAATTTCGGAATTTGAAATTTTGGATTTTGGAAATTTTGGATTTTGGAAATTTTGGATTTTGGAAATTTTGGATTTTGGAAATTTTGAAATATGAAAATTTTGGATTTTGGAAATTTTGGATTTTGGAAATTTTGGATTTTGGAAATACTGAATTTTGGAAATTTTAGCTTTCGCAAATTTTAGATTTTGGAAATTTTGGAATTTGAAAATTTCGGATTTTGGAAATTTCGGAATTTGAAATTTTGGATTTTGGAAATTTTGGATTTTGGAAATTTTAGATTTTGGAAATTTTGGAATTTGAAAATTTCGGATTTTGGAAATTTCGGAATTTGAAATTTTGGATTTTGGAAATTTTGGATTTTGGAAATTTTAGATTTTGGAAATTTTGGATATGAAAATTTTGGATTTTG